AGACATTATTTAAAACTATTCTAAATATTCTTTTATTTGTGTACATTCACAATAAAAACAAAACATTGTGCTTTTGTATAATAAAGGAAACAAATAGGATGCTGCTGTTTTAAGAGCGCATTACAAAAATGAGCCGAAATTCTGCATTTAGGCAGCTAATTATTGCACAGTTTTTTTTCTTTTGTTTTGTTGATTTATTATTTAGAAAAATATATTTCCCATATAGGCCTATTTATTTCTTTTATATATAGCTTTATGATGTTTTTCTCCATTCTCACTATGAAGCAGCAGCCAGGGGACTTGATTTATAATCAGTCCCTCAGCAGTGACTCAAACCTCATGCAGGTGCAAACAGCACTTATATCAGTATTTCCAGATTGGTTTCTGCAAATGAATTTCCTGAGTAGCCTGTATTAAAGTAAGGAACATATAGAGTATATGTATTTGAAATGAGTCTAGTCTAAATTAAACATGTTGAAATAAAATAAATTTTTTGAAAGAGCAATGCACAAGAAAGAAGAACGCATACGAACACAACAGTTGCGTTTAACATTGTGTTCTTCAAGGAAAAGACAACTGCAACCCTAAAAGAACCTCAACGTTCCTTCACCAACACTGGGCTGTGTTCAGGACACTTTCTGTCAGTTTGCCTTGCTTTCTCCCAGTCTGGTTTGTATCTCTAGGCTTGGCTTGCTAATTCAAACCAGCACTTGGGTTTTGTCTTGTCTGTTTCTCTGAGGAGAAGAAAGGCAAGGAGACAGTTTGAGGAGGAGGGGACCAACGCCAAACACCTGGACCCTCCCAATCCAGCCAAACTGGAGTGTCCATCTGCAAATTATGAATACACAACTGAAAGAGAGACATATCGCACAAGGCAAGAGTTAAACCAGATTTGCTTATTTTTTCAATTTTTGCAATAGATTCGCTGGTTGTGTCCCACTAACTTTCTGATAGAGCTGTTTTATAGTCTGTAAATCAATAAATGTGACCTGTGCTGGCAAAATGAGTCAGAATGTGCACGGTCTAATTGTGAGCTTCAGGCAAAAAAAATTACAATTTTGGTTGAATTTGAGATTTTCAAAAAAATGAGTTCATTAAGCCCTCGATCTAGCGATCCCAATGCTCCACATAGTAATTAAACATGTAAAATTATCTTTATTTGTACATTTTCTGAGAGGTCTACCTTCTTTGTTTTAAAAAGCGGAGTTTGTCCATCAGAAGCAAAGCACTTGCATCTTGCATTTTGGTTTCTGTTTTGAAAGGAACATGCATGAATGAGAATATATAATTTTGAAGGTTTTTAATAGAGAATATGAAAATAACTAACTTATTTTTGAAAATTTGCCTCATTTTGCCAGCACAGGTCACAAATTCTAATTAGCAGTTTTAGAATAGAATAGAACAGAATAGTATAGAATAGAAATATATTTGACAGAGCCTACACAAATGCATGGTCCCACTTTACATGCTAAACATGCTTTCTTGTTAATGGTGTGTCAACTAAGTCCCCAATGGGGGCAATAAGGTTACTTTCAAAGGTCTGAGTCATTCAGGTAGCTATCTATAGTTTAACCAACTAAGCAAGATTATCTTTGAACTGTTGTTTCAAAGACAGAAAACTGACAGCAGAAATAGAACATTTACTCAAATGGCCTCGTAAGTGCAACATTGAAAATGCTTCACATTGTGCCACTAAAAAAGTTTGCATTCACAAATTCTTATCCTCATGTTGTTCAGTCTAATGAGAGTTTAACGCTTTAACACTGGAAATACTACTTTGCACCTGGAGTCATTAAAGTGCTGTGCCTCAGGGGCAGACCTACCTTGTTTAGGAGGAAGAACTAGTAAGGAAAAAAAAAAAGAAAAAGAGTACAACAAAAAAATGGAGGCGGGAGGGTGAGTGAAATCTTGTGGGGGAACAAACCTTGATTGAGCAAGACAAACAGAGCTGGTTTTGCCACTTTTTCAACTGGGTGAGAGGGAGGCAGAAGGAAATTAAACTCTCTCATAGGGCTGGGAAAAAAAAGAGCTGCTAATGATTGGAGATGATAAATACAACCAGTTTGAGGGTAAATGAAAAAAATGAGAAGGGGGCAGCAAGCAAGCAGGGACAGAGAAGCGACAGAAAGAGCGATATGTTCTTGAGAAACCGGTCTTCTGTCGGGCCTGTAGTCCACAGAGTTTCTCCAGGACAAGTATAGGCCTGTTTTATGTGCTCTGAAAAACACAACTGCTGGCTAAGACATGCACATATGTGTGTTTGTAAGGTACATGGGTGTATTAGTGAACGAGGACCTCCGTTTATCTAACAAAACCGAACACCTACATCATAATACGGAGCCATTGACGGCTGCTAGTGAATGGCTATTTCAGCATGACTAAATATGAGATTACATAAGAGAGCAAATGGCGTACAACATGAGACATTTTATGATGCTTCATGAATGCGTACACTAGGGATGTGCGCGACGACTAATTTGACTGTCGTTTAAACAGAAGTTTTGTGTCGACTAGTCTAAAAGCAAGAAACCCCCAAAAGATGGTAAGAAAAAAAAACCTCTGTGCGTGCGTGTAGCATAGCCTATATAATAGCCTATATTTGAAATACTTAATCTATAAATCACACTGTCAAATCCCTCAATGAATTCCGCTTGCCGCACACTTGCCTCGCGTTATCATTTCATTTTAGGTGGTCGTTAAAAAGAAA